TATATAGGTAGGATTTTTTTTTTTTTTTTAGAGTAGGATATCTACAAATAAGTGCCATAAAAATATGATCAAATCTTATCATCATCCCATAATAACTACACACCATATAAAGGTGCTGAAATCACTCCTTTTAAATTTGACATCCAAAATTTCGGAATTGCATGGGCGGGATTTTGCTCAATTTTCGCCAAAAAATTATACTCACTCCTTTTAAATTTGACATCCAAAATTTTGGAATTGCATGGGCGGGATTTTGCTCAATTTTCGCCAAAAAATTACACTTATTACATTAAACATTTGGGCGGGAAATGAAATCTTTTTTTTTCTGATTTTCCACATGATTTTTTCAAAAAACTATCATTCCCTCTTTATATATTAATAGATGTCTACCAAAGTCATAAAAAGGTGCCTAAAAAAAGTCTTAAAAATTTTCAAAATCCTAATTGAATTTGATAATAGCAAGTGTAAAATTAATTCTTCCGTTCTCCTTCGTGTCTTTCCGGTGCTCGAGCACTTGTGCTCTCCAAGGGTTTACAGCCTCTCTGTTAATTCCGTTATTCGGATCTCAGATTGAAAGCTTTGAAAGCTGCTGAGTTTTTTTTTCCCCTTTCTTCCATGATTCATTTGTACACATCTTTCATCTTTGATGCTTCGTGGCGCTGATTCAAAGACATCTCTCCTCCATTTCATGCTCGTCGTTGGTGGTGATTTTATGTTAACCTTAGAAGATCTGAAGGTTGTTGTAAGTAACGTTGCAATTTGAGGAGCTTTGAGGGTATGGATTTGGATATCAATGTTGATGTGGGGAGGCTAGATGCCGAACTATTGCAGCTTCCGGAGGTGTCTTCTTTAGCAGTCAAAGCCAACCCTTATGTGGCGGAGAAACTCTTTGATCAGTGGCTATCTCTTCTCGAAACCAATTCGCTGGTAATCATTAAATATTTTTTCTATATTAGATTATTTTACATTGCTCTATATGGTTGTTCATGATTGGTGTGACATGTTGCTACACTTATTGATTTCGCTAGGTTTGATACAGCGTAAGTAATTGAAGATATCTATGAAATGGAAACTAATTCGGACGTGTTTTTTGCTCTAACAATTCTGGAAGGTGTAAGTTCACCATTTTTGAGATTTGAGAAGCGGGTGATTGTGATTCATTGTTGAGTCCTTTCATAATATTATGATGAACTAGATTTTTGTGAGAGCTCACTTGGTAGGTGTGTCAAAAGGGAACTAAGGGCATAACTTATTGGGCGTTCTTGAAAATGATGATTGGCCGGTGTATAGTCCAATTTACCCTAGGGTGTAATCTCCATTGTATTTGTGGACCTGTCTACTTCATGAGCATTTTAGTTTGGTTTCTAAAGTCTATTGAGCCCTAAATGATTGCGGTTGGTGTCGATTATGTACTATTTGTAACGTTGAGCCGATCATTTATCCGTTGGCAAGTGGCAAGAGACTACTAGTAATGTTGAGACATTTTCTTGTCGCTTTTGAACATACACTACAAAGTGAAACATAACATCTCTCTTTTAGATTGAGTATTGTTTCTTCATCTTGTTTCCATCTCGAATTGGCTGACATTATGTAGGTGAATCTCATTTTTATTATATCTGCATTTTGCTTGATAGATATCGTGTGAAACATGGCATAAATTGTGGAGAGCAATATTGAAGAATAAATAATAAGTAAACAACTGAGGAAAGAAGAATAAATCTACAGATTTGGTGTGATCTTGGTATCTGGATCGGTAGCCTTTTGAAAATCTATATTTTCTTTCTTTGGTTATTACTATCTTTTATAATTATGTAATTTTAGTATAAATATAGGGTCTCCACAATTATGTCAATCTAGTTTCTTTTGGCAATATAATGTGAGTTTTGTCAAATAATCATAATGATAATATTGTTATGGCGTTAAATGGTGAAATATAGCCCAGTTTTCATTCACCATCCACCAGGTGTTAATTGTAGCCAGGATTTGTTTGGTTTGTTTGGTTTGGTTTGTTTGTTTGTTTGTTTTGGAAGAGTTCTAGACAGACTTGGCTTTTGATCAAACTTACTTACTTGCTGTTCTGAAGATGCCCGTTTTAAAAATTGCTTCTTGAGTCCTTTATGATTTCCTCTTATAAAAGAACTGGAATTTTGTAAACTGGCATATGTGGTGCAAACTTATGAAATCAGAAAAATTAAAAACCTGGTAAGAGGAAATTCATTTAGCCATAGTGTGAAAAAACCTGAAAAATAATAATATTCTTTGATTAGCACACTGAGTATTCACGTGTTGTCAGAAATCTCTGCCTACTTCTATAACAAGTGTTAGGCTAAGTTATGAGGATGGAGGTTTCATAGTGTGAATAAATACTTTAGGTAGAGACTTGACCTATTACAGTTGAATTTCTATTCTCCCATTTGTATCTTCTCTAGAAGTTAACTCAATTAAAAAAGATATAGTGTTCATGCTAACAACTTCTGCAACTTTCTAGTCTGTTGACAACATCTTATCATTGTTCGTTGGTTGACAATATACTTCCAAACTAACTACTAGTATATGTTACCAATATGTTTTTATTTGTATATATTTTTTCATATTCTTATATTTTGTTATCCCATGTTGTATACTTTTTCTGGTTAATACTTATCTTGTATCTCCAGATCTATATCGTGAAACATATGGACTCATATTGTAGTCTAGGTTCCCTTTAGCAAAGTATTGCAAAGTTGAAAAGAACTATAATCTAGCTTTAAGTTGCAGGTTTTCTAATTAGTCAGAATGAAATGAATTCATGTATAAATAAAGAAATATGGAAACTGCAAAACCTGCAGTTTAATTTAATGATATAGTTTGATCCTATGAGTTTAAAAATTGAAAATAGATGCAAGCTTAGGGGTAGTTTTTTGAAAGCCATATCGTAAATGAACATTACTTTGCGACTTTATTCACCAAATTACATGTGAATTGTAGGTGAAATCCTTGCTCAATAATGCTAAAGGAGCAGGTGCGTTAAGTTTCTCCGGGACATTATCCAGCGGAAATGTTACAACAAGCACTTCATTGCCTTCAATGTTTCCAGCTGGCAGTACTCCTCCACTTTCACCGAGAAGTTCATCGGGTTCACCTCGTATCACGAGGCATAGAGCTAGCCCAGGCCCATCTGCTCTAGGTTCTCCACTGAAATTAGTGAGTGAGCCAGTGAAGGAGCTTATACCTCAGGTGCATCTTGTTGACTTTTGATACTCATTGGATTTTTTCTCCCATTTATTTGCTTCTTTTCTTTTCTTGTAATATTATTAACTGATATCTATAAACATGGATCAAATGCAGTTCTACTTCCTTAATGGCCGGCCACCTCCAAATGAATTGAAAGAACGTTGTTTGTTCAGAATCAATCAGTTTTTCTACAGTCATGTTGATGGACTCCAAATGCACGGTGGGATTTGCTTTATGTCGTGTTTTATATTTTCATAGTTTTCTTTTGATATGTTAATTTTTACAATATATATATAATATTAAACTCCATCTCTCGTCTACTGTTCCTTCTGAACTTGTTTTATCATATAAACTGTTTCCTGTTTTGAATGCTTTGCACGTCAATGGATGTTCAGAATTCAAACTGGTAACAAAAGAAATCTGCAAGCTACCGTCATTCTTCTCTTCTGCACTGTTCAGAAAGATGGATGTCGAAGGCACGGGAACTGTGACCAGGTAGCTGCACTCATATCTTTTTCGTCATTTATGTTTTATGTTAAAGCAACAAACTGTTTTTATTTGGCAAAATTGCATATTAATGCACCACCTTTCATGTTTTTGCAATTTAACCACAACATTTACAATTTTGCAAATTAATACACCACCTTTACCATTTTTGTAAATTGATACATAAATGACGGTTTCATTAAAAAATCTAACGAAAATCTGACATGGCATTGCCATGTCAGATTTTCGTTAACGGAACCGTCAGTCGTGTATCCATTTGCAAAAATGGTAAAAGTGGTGTGTTAATTTACAAAATTGTAAAGGTGGTGATTAAATTGCAAAAACATGAAAGGTGATGTATTAATATGCAATTTTGCCTTTTTATTTTATCTTCTTTTTCTCATTCATTTGTGCACTTCCTGTTTGATCAACTTAAAGCAAAGGAACGGAAAGATTAAATGCATAACATAGTGGATATGTCACATGCAACCTGTTTAATTTTTATTGTGGGGTGGAAACCAAGGGCCTGCTTTTTTCTTCCTTTTGTTTTATTTTTCCTTTTCTTTTTCTTCAGTCAAGGAATGGAATGGAGCAACATATTGCAGTGTGTTATGGAGTTACTGATTCTAATAATTTTACTTCGATCGCACGATCTTTGTATTTATCCTGTTTCACAAATTTATTTGAAACAGAGAGAAGGCCTGAATGAAAATTGACTTCCTATATTAAGAATTTATCCGGTTCTTGTGAATCTTTTGCACTACAAAAACATGAAACTTGCCAGTGACGGCAAATTGACTTCCTATATTCTGCTGTTTCGTGTGCAATAGATTTCCTATATATTTTGTATTACTTCCGGGCGGTTCCTCTCTATCTGTTACTGCAACTATCCTTGTCTTCCCTACCATTCATATTTGTTCGTATTGAGATGGGGAAACAGCACTATGCCTATTGGTGGGGAAGATATCGGACGGCTTTTGAAGTCACTTCAGCCTTGAGGACATGGCTGGCTTGAAGGGTGGAGAATTTTTACATACCAATCTAGATCTATTGACGCGTCTTAATTTTATTGTTATACCTAACTATCTAGGTTAAACTGGTGGGCTTTAGGTGCGTATGGTTATGTTTCCCATTAGGGTTATATAGCTGGGGTTAGTATTCTATATAAGTTTGTCTTAGTCTTTTTGCACAAAATACTGGAGCATTATTGTTTGTCTGCTTTTACCTTGGGAGGGACTAGGGAGATTGTCTCCCAGGGGGAAAGCCAGTACGCCACATTCTTTTGTTTATTTTCTGCACAATAATATTTGTTTCTTTACTTAACCCTCTTCTCTTTACTTTGACCCTTAATCTGTCATGTCAACAGAGATGCATTTGTCAACTATTGGATTAATGGAAATATGTTGACAAAAGACATATCAGCACAAATATACACAATATTGAAGCAGCCAGATGTCAGGCACTTGGCTCAGGTTACATGATCGCCAACAAGGCTCTATGAATCTTGGCCACACTCGTCAATATCTTGATTCATATTTAAGCAATATTCTTGATATGATGTAGGATGACTTCAAACCTGTGCTTCGAGAACTATTGGCAACTCATCCAGGGTTGGAGTTTTTACAGAGTACTCCTGAATTTCAAGAAAGATATGGTATGGAAAGATTATTAATATATTGCTTTGGTTCCTTTGTTCGTTTTACTTGACTACTTGGTTTTGGCTTTTGTGTTTAACTCCTCAATCTTGTTTTGGGTAATATCAGGTTAAATTTTTCATTGCCATAGAATTGGTTTTTAAGTGTTAATTATCTTTTGAAGACTGACTGTAACTATACAATTTATTCATAAGATTCTGTTTGTTTAAATTATTATATTTGTCATAGCCGATTGTACAGACACTAGAAATATGATTAGAAAATTGGATTAATTTAAGCCTTTGTGGTTTCATTACTGACTTGTTTTCATGTTTGTAACATTTCCAGGGTTGAAAATATATGGTTAGGATGTCCTGTGATAATGAGAATATAAATGGATTAGTTTTGTTTTATGTAAACGGCATAGATTAGGAAGTGCTTATTGCAGAATCATCTAAAAAATCCCAATCATGCCACACAAGATTTTGCAATGTGTGACTACCTTACTGGAGTTTTTTGTCTTTTGTTTTTTTTTTTCCGTGTTGGGATGTACATTTGATGTGGGAGAGGTAGATTTTACTTTATATGACATGAAAATCTTAAAAGTGTTAATAGATAGCCTACACTACTTTATAATTGTCAAAGTGAAGTTTCTAGGTTTTGTTGGCCGAGGCACGCCCTATGGGCAGTTGACGTGATACAAGAGGTGCCTCACTAGCCTGTAGCACCCCTAGGTTGTAGCAGGGTGATTTGCAATGAACTCTGCCTGGGAGAAATTGAATGAGCTCTTTATCTTTTCTCAACTCAACAAACATTCAATATAAAGTTGTGGAAGTTAATTAGATAATGCATCTCAGTATTTGGCACCAATCCAATTTGTTGCCGCTCCAAAAAAGTTCTATTTCCGACTCTTAAAATTTAACAGGGTTGAATATATGAAGTTTTATGTAGTTCTGTATGTCAGTTCTAGACATATTTTCATAACTGTGGAGGGTGACAGGTATGTATTCAATCTTGTTGAAATTGCAAATTTCACAGCACTTCCAAGTTTAGAAGCCTTCTTCATTTGTTGATTGTAGATCAGTGAAACATGGAGATTTTACTTGATAATTGGCTTTCTTGCTTATGTCAGTTTTAAGGTACTTACATACAATGCTTTAATATGGTTCTCCCCTGAAAGATACTTTTCATCGAACAATAAAAGTATGTTATTACTGTTTTTGTTCTTTCCCTTTCTTAATAAAAACAACTTATTAAAGAAAAAAGGGAGGGCCCGAAACTCTGTTGGGCGTTCCTCTAAATAATAAAATATTCTATTATTCTTTCAATCCAGGTTAGACTAATACAATACTTGACAATTGATCCCAAAAAACTTCGCATATATTGCTAATGGTTTCCTGGATTTGACGAGATCAGATTGATCATGGTTCTGGCATCATCCAAGATATTCCCACTTCATAAAACATAGAAAGAAACCTGTGTTGAAAAGTATGTAGCATGCATCTTTTGCTTAATCTTTTGTGTCATCTCATACCTGTCTTGCTTCTGTTTTTTTCCCCCCTGTGCCACATTGGTATAGTATTGATGGTAAGTTCCAATATGTGTGCTGGCCTGACTTCATGCAATCTAGTTATACTGCACTAACGAAAAATAAAATAAAAATGTTCATTGGAATAACATTTCAATTTCTTTGCTATTTCCAGCTGAAACTGTAATATACAGAATATTTTACTACGTGAATAGATCTGGTAATGGTCGTCTTACCCTCAGGGAGCTGAAACGTTCGAACTTAATTGCTGCAATGCAGCATGCTGATGAGGAAGAGGATATTAACAAAGTTTTGAGGTAATTACTGAAACCTCTTATTATTGTAACTGCCTTAGTAGAGCTTCCATTTTTAGGAGATATAATTTCTCGATTGGATTTGAAATGGGGTTTAGTTCAAATCCAATTTGGAATTCTTCCCTTTCCAAATCAGGTTTGTTGACTAATCAGCTTGCAATATAAATATAAATATAAATATCCAATTAGATGACTAATGTATTTGATTATCTGTGTGTGTGTGTGTGTGTGTGTTATGCAAGGAGAATTTTGAGTGAAGTTGATTCCCTGATGATTTGAATTATTCAGTAATCGTATGCTTTGTAATATGAATGACTTCCTTTCATTGTTATCAAATGGCGGTTATGGCTGTATGGCGTGGTGGATTTCTGCCAAACCGCCATGCTAAATTATGTGAAGAATAGCAGTTATGGCGGCGTCATAGGCCACCATCTGCCATTAATAACACAGCTGCCTTTTGTTTTCGTAGTATTGTATCTACACACTTCGTCTGTTCCATTAGATTCTTGCTTGTAAGAAATGGGTAAAAGAATGCAAGTTTAACTGAATATGGATTCTGGGATTTGGAAATATGGAATCCAAATCAAGGCATTTCCTGAATTTGAAATTTGGAATTGACTCAAGTATGACTCGAAATTCCAATATCAGTTTAATTTAATACAATCTAATTGATTGAAGATACATTATCAAATTGCGTTGTAAAATGTGAATTAAGTCACTTTGTTTTTTAGACGTAAAGGCTTCCAAATTCTGTTTAATGAACAGGCTAATGGTCTGTATTTGTTATAAATAGTACAGTAATGTGACTGAGTGCTTATGTTCTTGGTTATACAGAAGTGAGTTTGGGGTATTCTAGATGCACTTCAGAATTGTTTAAATCTATGGCACATTCTTCTTCTTTTTTTTTTGGCCCTTGCTTGCCTTCCATTTTCTACCACATTGGCATCTCTACCAGTCTTTATTTTCCATGTTATGACAACATTTCCTTCTTACTGCAGGTACTTCTCTTATGAACATTTTTACGTGATATATTGTAAGTTCTGGGAGCTGGATACAGATCATGATTTTTTAATCGACAAAGAGAATCTCATCAGATATGGTAATCATGCACTTACCTACAGGATTGTTGATCGAATATTTTCTCAGGTTTGGATTCTCTTTGTTCTTATTCAAGTTATTTTTCCCCTGTAATGAGACTAATCTCTGTTACTATATTGGGATTTGGCTAAGGTCCCCAGAAAATTCACCTGTAAGGTTGAGGGAAAGATGGGATATGAAGATTTCATTTATTTCATATTGGCAGAGGAAGATAAATCATCTGAGCCTAGTCTTGAATACTGGTTTGTTTTCTCTTTTATTATCATCATGTTTCTGCAATCTTAATTTTCTATGTTGAGGGTTTTTGCTTTTCCTACACGAGTTACTCAACAGTTTCATGTCCGAATGCATGTAGACACTACATTTTGTGTTTAATCTTTGAAATGCATAGTTTGTTAGTGTTGGGAAACTGGATGAGTTTGTGACTATATTTGAAGAGTTTTTGTCTCAAGGGTAGGGAATAGATTTGTAATCTGTACTCATACTTGTCATGTTTGTGGGTTATCAGTAGGCCTTCCACAGGTGACTCCAAACGTCTTCTGATACTCTTTATTACTTGTAATTAGTGAGTAGATAACCTATGGAAGAATTTAAAAAAAAAAAAAAAAAACCTATGGAAGAATTTATGGTTTTTTGGTGGGTCAGAGCACAGTCCTGTTGTTTAGTCACTTGTAGCGTATGATGCAATATATAAAAAAGTAAATTCTTTATGCTGAATTACTGTTTCTCATGCAATTTTAGAAATTTGGGTTTGAAATGGTTTTGTGTATAGTTGTTACTAGGAAGCTAAAGAGTATACTGCTTTTATTGTGCTTTTTTAAGTGTTTACTAGCTCATCACTTGTGTTTTTTTATATGTAGTAACCATATGAAGAGCAATAATTGATCAAAGTTCTTTTTCTCCCAGGTTCAAGTGCATAGATTTAGATGGTAATGGAGTTATTACGAGGAACGAAATGCAATTCTATTATGAGGAGCAGTTGCACAGAATGGAGTGCATGGCCCAAGAGCCTGTGCTTTTCGAAGATATTTTATGTCAGATAGTTGACATGATCAATCCAGAGGTGAACCCCACAGGACACTAATGTCATTATTTATCTTTTTTAAAATTTTCTTTCAAAGTAACATCTGTTATATTGAACTTGCTAATCGGAGCAATGGAGTCTTGCCCCTGTATTCTTGTTAGTCTAGTAATAATTAAAAAAGGCTTGTTAGTCTAGAAATAATTAAAAAAGGCATGAGGCATCCCGTGGTGACAAGCCTATTTTCCAAGGCGTGAGGCGTGGCAAGCCAGTGTGCAAAATGATTCATGGACAATGAAGAAATTCATATAATTCAGGTGAAAACAGAAAAGGAAGTCCCAATCGAGATTATTTTTGCCCAAAAAAAGAGAATTTTGACCATAATAGCTAGTTTTGAGCTATTTTTGAGTCTTTGACCCACCCACTCACAGGGTATAAGAATTTATCCACAGAAAAAAAGAGCAAACCACTCACCCACTCTCAGAGAATATTATTAGAAAAAAGGAAGACATTAGTATTAAATTATAAAAATAGAAAAGAAGGTGAAAAGGATACCTTCACTCTCAGGTAGTTAGTTAAGGAGCCACAGGTCGCCTGAACACCACAGGGATCAGGTTTTCCGGTGCAGATAAATGGAAAGCACAAACTAAATGTGGGTTTGGTTGGGCAAAGATGTGTAACTGAGATATATTTTATGAAAAACCCTAAACTGATGCCCTAAAATTAAAGTTTGTTCTTTGACTAATCGAGGCTGAGTACCTTGGCGTCGCCTTTCACAAGTGTGCCTCGCAACAGCTATTTGAGGTGCCAGGCCTGGCCATGCTCGCCTCACGCCTCGCGTCGCCTTTCTAGTCACTGCTTGTTACTCTTTTTCAGCCATCGTATGCCGTTCTTTTTTCGAGTTTCGACTATGGAATTCATTTTTTGCTGCATCTTTCTATTGGATATTGTGTCTAACATACCCTTTGGCTGCGTGCGTGGATGGAAGTCTTAAGTAGAAAAAAAAATAGAATGAAGTAGTGTGTGATAAGGTCATAATCTACAGCTTGTAGTTTTTAGTAACTGGATCAATCATTTTAGCTATTTGTTGTTAACTATTAGTGTCATCGATTTTCAGAATAGCATGATGAATTCCTGCCTAACCGCCATTAGAAAAATTTGAAGGATGGCAGTTATGGCGGCGCCACAAGCTTGCGGTCGCCATTGATAACACTGTAACTCTGTTTTACTGAAATGACATATCATGACATGAAAATTTATTTCGTCTGCAGAACGAGAGCTATCTTACGTTACGTGATTTAAAAGGAAGCAAACTCTCAGGCAGTGTTTTCAATATTCTTTTTAACCTGAACAAGTTCATGGCTTTTGAGACACGGGATCCATTTCTTATTCGCCAGGTAACATTATAGCAACTTTCTTACGCTCAAGAAATACTTTGCTATGTTCAGAATGTTCTGTGTACAGTCACATGGTTTTGCAGTTGTTGACTGTTTATTCCTAACAGGAGCGTGAGAACCCAAATTTGACGGAGTGGGATCGCTTCGCACACAGAGAATATATACGGCTTTCAATGGAGGAAGATGCTGAAGATGCCTCCAATGGAAGTGCAGATGTTTGGGATGAATCACTGGAGGCTCCATTTTAAATTCTGCTTGGTGAGATCTTTATTCATGTTAAGAAATTAAAATATCTTTCTGTATTAGATTTCACTTGAAAATGTCCCTAATCAAGTTATAGTGCTTTAATATTTATAGTCATAGTAGAAATAGGTANTTATGAACTTGTTGGATCTAAAATTTTAAGTCTAAGAATAATATGCATATGGATTTACATTGGTTACCTGAACAGAACAACGTATGTTTCCAACATGGGGTGTCAACTCATTAGGCTCTGCAAGAATTTGATTCTTGTTCCTTGTATTTCTAGTCCTTTGTCATCTCTGTACCAAGGAACCAGTCAACGCCCCAAATAAGGCTGCTATCACATGCATTGCACATCATACATAACCTTACAGTTATATAAAATGATCCTTTATACTTATATGAGTTGTTTCCCTTGTAATAAAGGAATATTTTGGTGTATGATCACTAGAGGGATCTTTTAACACATCATTTAAATTGGTTGCATGATTGCGTGAAACTGAAGTTTCTTGGTTGGTTTTTGGTTTGCCAAATTTGATGTAAAAGGGTCTTATCTGATTTGAAAATGGTGTGTTAATGGTAAGATTTTGAATGCAGAGTAGTTTGAATTTTGATGTGAATAATTATGGAAGGTAGGAAATAGTGCGGTGTGATGCGGTAAGGCTAATGGGTTGTTACTGCAAACTCGTTAATGATAGGAGTAATTGACTCTTCATCCGCGGCCAGTGATTTTGTCTCTTGCTGAACTTAAATATGTAATTTGCACCATCTATTTTATTAAAGTGAGTATTGGTCCGAGTGCCACGTAAAGCAATTTTCTGAATAAAGTAGATTGATTCTAAACACAACCAAGTTTGCATTGGCAGAAATCAAGGAAAAATCGATGTCAAAATAAGTTTTAATCTGATTTAATTCTTAGTACAAAATACAAAGTTTATGTACTAGTCAAATACTATTTCGTAGTTAATTATTAGTACTTGTTTTGGCTCATTTATTCTATAGACATTTGGATTACACAACATTCGAGTCTTTTCTGATATCAGAAATGGTGGGTCTCAATTAAATCTCATCACAGAGGCAGCAGTTTTGGTGGAAGCTGAGAAGTGAGTTTCATTTGCATCTCCTTTTCTGTGGTAGGAGTTGCCTGGTTTACACACTGCTTCGGATGTAGCTTATGATGCCACAAGTTGTGTGAAACATGCAAATAATTTAATTGCTGATAGTTTATTAGTTATTGCTTTTTATTTTTCTTATCTCTGTAATCCTGTCCTCAGGTGTCTATGGAGTCTTCTTTCACTTTGTAGCAGTAATTGCGTGGGACAAGTTGTGAATTAGGATTGCACGATCTGAGTCCACAAAATGATACATGTGTGTTTAAAGCCGCCTCAGGAATTTTGAGTTGACCTGTATGTATGTAAGAAGCTTGCCAATATGTATTTGTTATTGCTACAGTGGGGGCTCTGGAAATGGCATATATAGAAAACCAACAGGTTATGCTTTCCCAACAACGGTAGCGCTTATATTAGCACAGTTGTAAGAATCTGTCTATTAATTATTTCTTTTAGAACTAATGATTCTGGGGAGCTTTCTTTAAAAACCCAATCCCTTAATCATCTTACATGTTAGTCCTTATACATAATTTCTTTCTATTTCACTATCTACCCCCATATTCAACTTCCATTTAAATCCCCCCAATTAAAATAAATCGCAAAAAACTTTTATTGTGACATCATCCCACTATCATTCATCTCATCTTATTATTTTATTGTTTCTCTCTCTACTACTAACTCTCTTATTTTTTTCTTATTTTTCTTTCTCTCTTTCCACACATTTTTTTATTATTTTGTTCTCATTTTCTACTATTGATCTCTTTTACTATTTTTTTCTTTTAATAATTTTTTATTATTTTTCTTGCTCTTTCCTTCCACACAAGATATAGGTACTAAATTACAATAACATTGGTAGTGTTCTACTACATTATAGGTATCATTTTTGTAAACAAATATACAGTATATATTCATTTTCGTTCATATAAGTCGGTATTAAATGATAATATAAATGTACTGAGTTATGACAACACTGGTACTGTCTTATTCCAGTATAAGGGGGGTGTATTCAATTCGGAATTTAAGTGACATTTTATGACTTTTCGAGATTTGAGACTTTCTAGGATTTTCAGATTTTGGAAGAATTCTATGAAATCTCAAGTCCGGAGGTAAGATTTGAAGTGGGATTTCATATAAGGTTTTTTGTTTAGAAATCCCACTAAATCTTAAAAAGTCTTAATAAATCCTAGTGCCAAAAAAATTAAAATACTTCAGGATTTTGTAAGACTTTTGAAAATCCCAATTGAAAACCTAGGATTTTTAAATGTTTTAAAAAGTCTTAACAAATCTAAATTGAATACACCAAGATTTCTAAAGTCTTAAAAAGTCCTTAAAAATCCTAATTAAATACACCCCCCTAAGTATCAGTTTTGTAACTCATTTAAACAAACTATTATGAATCTAGTGTGATGCACGGGTGATAGATATTCATTAATGTTTGTAAATTATAAATTTTCTCTAAATAATATTATAAATTAAAAAATATGAAATCATTATGTAATACTCCCCCTATATTAATTTTTTTAAAATGTTTTATGAAATTTAAATTGTGCAAAATTATATAAAATATGTCTATTTAAAATTAGTACACAACTCTTATGATGTACATAACTGATAATAAGTTATATTATTTCATTTCAAAGTAAGTGTCATTCTAAAATTTTTATTCAAAAATCAATTTGAATACAATGTAGTTCCATAAAATATTTATTTTAATAAAATTTTTATCATATACTTTAAAATATATGTGAATAATAAGTATAATATTAAAACTTATATCTTTTTATTAATTAATATAAATTTATTTTTGTATAAACTATCCAAATAAAAAAATTCTATTTTACTATTTCATATAAATCTATATTACACTAATCTCACAATTTTTAAGGTTTGTTGTATGTTACTTGTCGTTCAAATTTATGATCTAATTCTCTATAATTAAATTATAAATTTTACTAAAAATTATTTATTCAAAGATCTATCTAATTTTCAAGAGGAATATATTTATCACCTAGTACGATACCCATGTACTATACGGGTACTTAAATATATTATTATTTGTACAATAGAAAGTTTAAAATAAATTGTTTATTATTGTAAAATTATGTATAATGAATATAAAAAATAATGAATAACTAACAAAGTAGTAATTAATTCAAAATGGGGTCCGTATTTTTGCACTTAATTTTCTTATTTTATTTAAAATCTATGATGAAACGCAATAAAATGATTATTTTAGGGTGTATTACTGAATTAAATTTTTATTATATTTGTTATAAAATAATTTATGTTGTATTCGTATTTTTGAAATTATTTTTTTAATAAATATAGTTTTATTTATAATGATAGATGTAATTACTTTTTATTTTATATATGCAATATGGATGTCAAATCGAAGATCATCAAATATGATTATTTTAAGACAATTCATGCCATATGAAACTCATATCATTTAAATTTGGACATTTCATCCCAAAATAAAACCGCACTCAATTTATTAATCATAATACTCCACTATTATCTTATTCTAAAATTTAATGTCATATAATATTATTAAAACAATTTTTTAAATTAACAACCCAATTTTATTTTGTGCAAATATTTGATATTTCTAACAAACAAAATTTTATACTCTAATAGCTTACGCAACACGAATTTCTATTTACGCTGCGTAGTATAAGAGCCAAAACGCGACAAATTACGTTATAAATATTTTAAAACACTAAAAGGAATATAATTTCAATATAAATGACCGTTAAGGCAAGATTATATTATTTATTGTGAAACCCCGTGCGTCAAGAAGGACTACAATTTTAAATATTTATTTGTTGAAAATTAAGCACATCATTTATTTTTTTAAAAGAAAACAAATAAATATTATGATAGGATATCAACCAATTTAATGAGTGATACATCATGTTTTTCAGTTTCATATGTTGAATGTGTCGCCTAAGTGATTTTAATTTCAATAAATATGGAATGTCGCGGTTGTGGATATACTAAGGGATGATTTTTATTTATATTGAAATTAAAAAACATATTTTTTTCCATAAAATGAAAATTACCTAAAAATAAAATCAAAATATTTCTAAATTTCAAAACTAAAGCTCTATTGAGTTCATGACCACTTGTCAAGTAAACTTAATTAAACATATTCAAATACTCATAGAAATTAATTTATAAGTGATTTCGAGTAATATAAACATAATTTAAGACTGAAATTCAATGTTCTTTTATGTTCGTTGGAATTGGTACTGAAGACGCGATATTGGGTACTAAATTACCATTTAAATTGTGCAAAATTATATAAAATATGTCTATTTAAAATTAGTACACAACCGTACATTACTGATAATAAGTTATATTGTTATATTTCAAAATAAGTGTCATTTTAAAACTTTTTATTGAAAAATTCAATTTGAATACAATGTGGTTCCATAAAATAAATATTGTTGTAAAATTTTTATCATATATTTAAAAATATATGTGAATAATAAGTATAATATCACTGAATTATATTTTTATTGTATTTGTTACAAAATAATTTATGTTGTATTCATATTGTCGAAATTAGTTTTTTTTTACAAATGTAGTTTTATTTATAACGATAGATGTACTTATTTTTATTTTATGTATGCAATATGGATGTCAATCGAAGATCGTTAAAATATGATTATTTTGAGATATAATATACAAAAAATAAAATAAAAAATAGCTATATTGATGTAAAAATAAAAGAATACATATTTATAACAATTATTATATGAATTAAATGATGAAGGGTGTTATTCAATGAAATGAAGTGTATTAGTAGTGCTTTCTCATTAGTGTGTCAAGTTCATGACCATTTTACGATTAAACTCAATTAAAAATATTTTAAAACTCATATAAACTAATGTGAGAGTGATTATGGGTCATATAACTATTATTTGAGACCGAAATTCGGTGTTTTTATATGTTTATTACAAGTGGTACTGAAGTCCCAATATCAGGTACTACAACAAGATAAAACTGGTACTATTTAACTCTATGTCTGGTACTACTTTTTGTAGATGTTGAACAAAATTGAAACAATCCATTTTCGTTCACAAAAGTAGGTACTAATCGATCAAAAACAGGTACCACGTAGAATAAGATACGGTATTATTTTGTCTAAAACAGGTACTATTTAAGAATTGTGATTTCTCTAATCCTTCATGTCTACCATGACACGTGGATCGTTCACATGTGATTTGGATGAAAAATAGTGGAAATTAAAACATATAGGTAGAATTTGGAGTAGTCATGTATGATAATTCTATGAGATGAAGTGTGTAGTTCAACGAAATGAAGTATATTAGTAGTGTTTTCTCATTAGTGTGTCGAGTTCATAACCAATTTGCGAATAAACTCAATTAAGATCATTTTAAATCTCATATAAACTAATGTGAGAGTGATTATGGGTCATATAAACATCATTTGAAACTGAAGTTCGGTATTTTTATGTGTTTATTACAAGTGGTACTAAAGACCCAATGTCAGGTACCACAACAATATAAAACTGGTACTATCTTACTCTATGTCTGGTACTACTTTTTGTAAATGTTGACCAAAATTGAAATAATCAATTTTCGATAACAAAAGTAGGTACTAATTGATAAAAAACAGGTACCACGTAGAAGAAGATGTGGTACTATTTTGGCTAAAACATGTACTATTTTAAGAATTGTGATTTCTCTAATCCTTCATTGTCTACCATGACACGTGGATCGTTCACACGTGATTTGGATGAAAAATAGTGGAAGATAAAACATATAAGTAGAATTTGGAGTAGTCATGTATGATGATTCTATGAGATGAAGTGTGTCATTCAATGAAATGAAGTGTATTATTAGTGTTTTCTCATTAGTGTGTCGAGTTCATGACCATCTTACGATTAAACTCAATGAAAAACATTTTAAATCTCATATAAACTAATGTGAGAGTGATTATGGGTCGTATAAACATCATTTTGACCGAAATTCGGTGTTTCTATATGTTCATTACAAGTGGTACTAAAGACTCTATATGTGGTACTAAAGCCCCATAAAGTGGTACTACCTAACTCTAGGTCTGGTACTACTTTTTTTAAATGTTTAGCACAATTGAAATAATCCATCTTGGTTGACCAAAAGTAGGTACTAATGGATCAATAATAGGTACTGCATAGAAGAATAACATGTACTATTTCAATAAAAACTGGTACCAGAAGTGTATTAAGTATTGTTTTTCCATTAGTGAGTTGAGTTTGTGACCAATTTGCGATTAAATTTGATTAACCAAATTTTAAATCTCATATAAACTAATGGTGAAAGTGATTATGGGTCGTATAAACATCATTTTCAACCGAAATTCGGTATTTCTATGTGTTCATTACAAGTGGTACTAAAGACTCCATATGTGGTACTAAAGCCCATAAACAGGTACTAAAACACCATAAAGTTAGTACTATCTTACTTTAGGTCTGGTACCAATTTTTGCAAATGTTGACCAAAATTGAAGTAATCCATTTTCG